GCTGCCAGGGTGCTTCCCTAGGCCCCAGCGTATTGCTCTGTTGCACAACCTCCTTGTGCCTGCTATGTTGTATAGCTGTGGTCTTCCTTTCTACTTACCCCTCCAAGCTTAGCACTGCAGAGTTCTCAGGGACACAGTAAGTGCATACACTGTGTTTGGAAATAAGCTGGGTCTGTCCTTCCTAGGCAGGGGTGTTGGGAACCTACAGTGATATTCAGTTCCCTTTAGCCTCTAGCTGTCTTCAGGTACTCACAGGGCAAGTCCTGGAGTGGGCTGATGCCCTCCCTGCTGGTGGAGAAAGTGGGGCACAGGCAGGGCAGGCATATTCTACAGCTGGACACAGAGGAGGCGGGGCTGCTGCTGCTGCTGCTGGAGCAATGAGCCGCTGAGTCTCAGGAGTCCCCTCATGCTAACATCTCCCTCTTAATGCTGAGGCTGTTTATTGGGGAGTTGGTGGTTATGCAGGCAAAGAGCAAATTTTCTTAAAGGACCCCACAGATGACAGAGAAGAGACTCCTAAAAGCCTCTTTACAAGTTTCATTTTCTAGGTGGTTAAGTATTTCTGTAGCAAGCCGCATCATCGTTTTTGGACTCAGGAGTGTTAAACACACTGACTGGCTCTCTTTGGGCTTCTTGGCAGTGGAGACATAGTCTTCCCTCAAGCCCTTGCTGCTTAGCGACGTGAGTGAGATATCTGCCCTTTTTATGAGTGTCTGTGTCAGCTTTGGCCTCAGAGAGGCTGTCATGAGCCTCACCCTTGCCTGACTTCTTCACTGTTAAGCTGGGGAGGGACAGGTATTTGGCTGTCCAAGGAGGGGTCTTGATGGTTGGGCTTCCAAAGTTGGCTCTAGGGGTTAGTTTCCAGTGCTTCCTCCTGTGCCTCATTCCAAGCACATTGTAAATTAATCTTTGCAGCCAGGCCATGGGGGAGGAACAGTTATTACTGACTACAGACAAGGAAACAAAGTCAGGAGGTAGTTAAGCCAGTTATCCAAGGACACAAAAGTTGTCAAAGGAGCTGAGTTGGAAATTGACATTTTAGCCTAGGCCATTAGACCCCCCCTCCCCCCATAGATGCTGCACTGTATATAACCAAGGCCAGAGGTGACCTCTAGGCTGGCTCTGGCCCACATGTATTTGTATAGCCCCTTGGTGGCTTTATCCATTTATTTTCCATATGGAGTTAGTTGTCAGCACTGTCAGCCCATCCTCGTAGTCCGCAGCTGTAAGGGTTCTAGACTGACTCCTCATATAGGCTGTTATGTAGAAGTGAAGTACTGGGCCTCAGGCCTGTCAGTGCAGGACAGGTTTATCCTGGGTCTGTGTAGTTTGCTACTTTCCTGAAGGGCCTGGCCCATGGTGGCTGTTGCTGTGCCCCCTAAAGATTTGGTCTGGTTGATGCCATCTTGTAGCTGTTCTTTGCAGTCCATCTGCCTCATTCCTCTCCAGACCATACCTACCAACTTGAGCCAGACACAGGCTGCAGAGCAACCATGCTGGGAGCTGACCTCTTCTGGATTTCCCTAACCCCTTGCTCTTTTTAAAGACTGTGGTTAATGGATTAGATATGGAGTCTTTGGCAGGTTTATTCTAATACTGTAAGATTTAATAATACCAAGGATTAGGAGAATCTTCAAACATTTTCTAGAGGCGTGAGTAGGGTGCTGGGTGTGTGCTGGGCTCCTGTGGGCATGTTGTGTGGATGTGACTTGTCCAGGGCCCACATTTTCTTTTTCTGTCTGTTTTCCTGCCTCTGACCAGAGACAATGGAGATGCTGCTCCCCCTTCCTCCCTTTTTCTTTTAAATAAATCTAAAAGTAAAAAATGTTTTGTGAGGTTATCAAAAAATAATGTAAAGGAGAGAATATGTGTGGAAGTTTCTGTGGCTGGAGAAAGGGGATAGGCACAGAAGGCTCAATTTTACTTTACATTGCTTTGGATTGTTTGCCTTGTTACAACCGTTTACTTTTAATTGAAATGTTTAACAAAAATGCATAGTTACTCTAGGAAGTTTTAATAAAGATTCATTAGAATGCGATTTTTTAAGCTTGCCAGAAAAATGTCTTCAAGATGATTTTATTTTGGTAATTATTGTATTTTAAATGCTTTTAAAAAATACAATCTTTGCGATTATAATATAATTACAACATTTCTCCCTCCTCCAAACTCTCTCATATACCCCTCCCTGTACTCCTTCAAATTCATGGCCTCTTTTTATTGTTATTGTATGCATATATGTATTTGTGTATACATATGTATTTCTAAATGTAACCTACTCAGTCTATATATTATTACTTGTATGTATATGTTTTCAGGGACAACTGTTTAGTACTAGACAACCAATTGGTGTCTTCTTTCCCCAGGAAAGGACACCTCTCCTGCTCCCAGCTTTTCTCAGTTGTCTATACCTTCTTTGTGTAGGGTTGAGGCCTTGTGGGCTTTTCCTCCATCTGGTTTGGCAGGCCCATTGGTGTAGGCCTTGTTCAGCTCACATCTGGGCAGTCATGTAGTGAGACTTTATGAGTATAGCTTCTGACATTACTTGTAGACAAAATCTCACAGTGAACTCGTCTGGCTTTTACAGTCTTTCTGCCCCTTCTACCATGTTCCCTGAGCCTTAGGTGCTTTGTAGTTGTATCCGTTGGGACTGGGCTCCGTAGCTCTCCATTTTGATTGGTGGTGGTTTTCTGTAATGGTCTCTGTCTGTCGAAAAGAGAAGTTTCCTTGATGAGGGGTGAGGACCCTGAAGGGAGCTATGGGAAGTCTGGATATCAAGTCCAGGGTGCCACTTTCAAAAGATACCCTCGGAAACCCTCTGAATCTAGGAGGGAGCTTTTAGACAGTGCTGGAAACATCTTGAAGCAACCCATAGCTGATGCTTGTACCCAAGATGATGGGCATAGAACATCCAGTCCAAGAGGAATATGGTGTGAACCACATCTGTAACTTAACAGTCCTGGCTCGCCACATTAGAATAGGCCAAGAAGAAACAGTAGGAGTTAATTTTAACAGCATATTTCACCCAATTTATCCAAAGTTTTTATCCTTACAATTCGAATCTAATATATCAGGTTACTATTTTATGTTCTTGTCTACACTGAGTTTTTGAAACCCTGTATAAGCCTTTGCTTGAAGCAAGTCACAGGTTGCAGGAGTCATATACAAGTTCTCAGGGAGCACTGTGTCTGAACCATCCTGAATCGGGAAAGGAAATGTCTCTTCAGCCTCCAGCTCACAGAGACTTACGAGGCTGTCATCCCTCGCCTGTGTCTTTTAAACCCTGGGCAGTGACTATCCACCCAGGGTTGGGGGTACGTGGAAAAACACACAACCAAAATTGTGTCAGTGGGAGGTGTTTTGTTTTATTTTGGCTTTGTAGCATTCGGGATTATATCTCACATGTATAAATACTCCATTAGTTGTGTGTGCATACATATTTCAATGAAATTAAGGAGGTACCCACACACAAACTTCCATTTTCTTAGCAATACAAACTCTTAGGTCTTTAATGCTTGTGTGGTTATTTTTAAATCTACTGAGCTTTCCCAAGGTAAGAAATTATAAAATAAGGTGCTCATAGCAACTGGCTCGCCCACATCCCACCTTCTCCTTATTACGGTATCATGCTAAGTGCTTCCACTTGTAATGAAAATATTGTGACTACGAAGTAAAAATATTGTGATAAGTCAGAGAATTCAAGGTTGCTGTAGAAACCCTCCCCATTCCTTGTCCTCGAAAGGTAGGCTTAGCTGAATTTGCCATTGCAGGCCTGTCAGTCTCTTTTAGTGCATTTGGCCCTCTGTTTCAACTATGCGGCAAATTTAGACATGAGTAGAAGGAATTCCCCAGGATTTTAGGTAAGCTATCTCAGTTCACTCTTGTCTTGTCTGCAAGGCAACATTAGTATCAACAAAGAGACTGGGAGTGGGCATGTTGAGGAGAATTTTGTTTGTTTTTGGCAGTGATAGTTGTAAGCCAAGTGATCTGTACCTAGGGAGTAGACAGTCTCGTTCTGCCCCAGTCATTCCTCTCCTAAAGCCAGTCACTACTTAAGCTCCACCCAGGGAGAATAGAGATAAGGTGGGGAGCCTTTTCAAAGATTTTGCATGTATGGTTGTGATTGCTGGAATAAGTGAAGAGTGTCCTCATGAGTCACGGGCAGTTGGTGCCCATGAAGATGCTGAGGTAGATAAGGGAATTTCACTGAGTCATGGGAGGTGAGATGAACCAAAATGTTTTACTAGAAAAGAAGAAAGGGGGCCAGTCGGTGGTGGCGCACGCCTTTAATCCCAGCACTTGGGAGACGGAGGCAGGCAGATCTCCGTGAGTTCAAGACCAGCCTGGTCTACAAGAGCTAGTTCCAGAACAGCCTCCAAAGCCACAGAGAAACCCTGTCTCAAAAACCAAAACAAACAAAAAAACACAAATAAATAAAGAAGAAAGGCAAGGAACCTCCGAGGAAAATGTGTTGGGCATAATTTTGCACATCATGTTATTTATTTATTTATTTGTTTATTTATTTTGAGGCATGGTCTAATGTAACTCAGGCTGGCCTGAAATTCACTATGAAGTGGAGTATGACCTTAATCTTCCTGCCTTCTTTTCTGGAGTGCTTCGAACCAGGGCTTTATATGTGCTATTGGCTTTGTCAGCGACAATGCCTCCCATTCCTGCACAGCTTCTGTCTTGATCATTTTTTAAAAAAGGAAGAAAGGAGGAAGGCTCTTGTAGCCCAGTGCCAGAGTGCCTGCCTAGCGTGCACTAAGCCCTGAATTTGATCCCTATTACCAATATAAAATAAGGATATTTCTCCTAGCCTTGGCTGGGACCCTTCAGTGTTGTGGACCCTTCGTTTATAAAGAAGCCCACAGTGCCAGCCTGCTATTCTGAAGTTGTGGCACAGTTTCCCTTGCTTCTGACCAGAGCCACCTTTTGATGGACATTGTTGTGCATCACTTGTTTTGATGTAGAGAGTAAGCCCCTGCTCCTTCCTCCTTCAGGATCCCCAGATTGCGACAGCCCTCTTTTCCTGCCCTACAAGACACTGGTCTCCACAGTTGGAAGCATGATGTTCAATGAGGGTGAGGCCCAGCGGCTTATTGAGATCCTCTCTGAGAAGATTGGAGTTACTCAGGACACCTGGCATAAGGTAGGCCACTGCAGGGCTGGCACGACGCACTGCTTTTCCTAGAGACAGCATCTTGCTCAGACCTGCCCCTGCCCAGGAGCTGTCTGTCAAGCCATACCCAGCTTGTCAAACTACAAAGAGAATGTCCCTAGAGGAGAGTCCACTTCTTCCTAGAGAATCCTGCCAATGCTGCCTGTGCTCAGGCTGCATGGATCAGCGGTCAATGATCTACCTACCATTGCTTGTCTGCCTAGAAGGCAGAACAGGGCCTCTGTGCTGCATATACCTCTGGGGTTAGAGCATGGGCTCTGGCCCAGCTGAAATCTGGATATAGAGTGTGACAGAGCCCTGTGACATGTCCCTTGTTTACCAGGGCAAACTCAAAGGCTGATTCCTACTCTAGTGCCCCTGGCCAGTGAACTGTTCTAGGAAGTGAGGTATGGATGTGTTTGTTCCTTAGCTAGTTGGGTAGTAACTTTGTTGGTCAGTTCAGTGGCTGGAGGTGTTTGGGATAGTCCTTTCCTGGCTGTCACTAAGGGATGACATGCTGTGTATATTCCTGCTGATGTACTGGGGGTGTTTCCTGGGCATGAGTGTTGGAGGTCAAGGTGACTATAGTTCAGGCACATCTCAGACCATGTCCTTAGAGTAGTTTCCTGTTCTAGTTCCCACACTGCAACCAGTGGCTTCCAGTCTGTATGTACTGGCTTTAATGATGGAAATACCATGGTTGTGAAAACTGCCCCAAGCGTCAAGCGTCCATGAGCACAAGGTCTGGGAGTTTCTGAAGGCTGGGTGGCTTAGCAGGACCATCAGTTCCCATGGAGGTGTTTAGGGTCAGATGGAACCACTTATCTCATTGCCATTGTGGGGGAAACTATGCCTCTTCCTGTTCCCCTTTAACATGGCTTTGTCAACATTTTTAGGCCACTCAGAAGGGTGACCCTGTAGCAATTCTGAAACGCCAGCTAGAAGAGAAAGAAAAGCTACTAGCCACAGAGCAAGAGGATGCGGCTGTCGCCAAGAGCAAACTAAGAGAACTCAATAAGGTACTGTGTAATCTCAGAAGTGAGGCAACCCCTCCTCCGTCTTCTCTGAGGATCCCCCTGCCCCAGGGCCACAGCTGTCCTTTGGTCATCAGGAAAGGGGCTTGTCTGCCTAGCATATGGCTCTTATCAAGCCAAGAATGTTTTGACTGAAGATTCTGTGCTGTCTAAAGAGCTGCGGTGTAGTATTGAGGTCCCTTCCCTGTGGCCTAAGAATACATGCAGCTCAGCAGAGACCAGGACCTCAGATTGTGGTGGTTCCCAGAGTGATAAGTCATCTTTTGAGTTAGTGCACCTAAGAAGGAGGAGGTGCACACTTAATCCAGGGTGGTTTTCCTCCCTATTTCTGACTTCAGTAGGGTGATGTACAGGGGAGTTCTTGGCTACCTCTGGCTGGTCGGCAGATTTTTACTCTGAATTGGCAGGTGGTAGTGAACCTGGGTTGCTATAGGGCAGGGTTGGGGCATTGTTCAAGATATGCCAGGCCTTCAGGCATGGATAGTCACTCACTGCTGAACTCATTGGCACGTCTCCCTTGCCTCTGCTTCTGAGAGGTGGGTCCTGGTGTCCGAGCACCCCAAAGGACATGGAGAGCCAGGTGAGGGGAGTCTCCATAGGCCTGGTATCCTTTAAGTTGTCTCTTCTGCCAGGTGCCATGGGTTTTCTCATGCCCTTTCCTTGCATTCTGCCTTCTGTGTCCCAGGCAGCAGACTCAGGAGATGGGCTGGATCAATAAATATCCGACACCATCTTAGACATAACCCTTCCCTTAGGTACTTCCCATCTGCTTTACTTGAGACAAACTAGAAATGAGGCAAAGTGACTTTGCCCTAAATTCAGTGTGGCTGCACTCTGAGCCAGACAGAAAACTTGATTGAGGGACAAGATGGTCCCCCCACCTCCACCCCCACCACTACCCCTGGGGACCTCTCCTAGGGTTCAGTGGTCTTCTGTCCTGCCTCCCATTACCTGAGCTGTCCGGGGTTACTAGAAATGCAGGTCTTATAGTTATGTGTCTTGGCTTAAAGCAGCCACAGGGTGTTTTGTTGCCCGTGGCCCTTTTTCACAACCCATAGGATGCGTGCTTTTTCCTCCTTCACTCTGCAGTTGTTCAGTATGCTGTATGATGCTGTATGGTACTGAAACAATAACTACTACAAACTGATTGTCCCCCTGCTACTGCTGCTTTATACCATTCTCTCCTGCAGAGTTTCTTACCTGGTTTACTTCTGTCAGTAGCAATTTGTGAGCCTCTGATGCTTGGCTGTTTAATATTAAACTGTGAGTTTGTGTCAAAGAAGCTGTGAATTCATTACCAGAAGGCTGTGATTCCTCCCTAAAACTCAGGCTTAGCTACTTGCTTTTCTCTTCATCATTAGTTGCTTATTTTTTGTTTCAGTTTGAATTAGAGTAACTGTTTTATGTGCTATTTTCCTATGTGCCTTTTAAGAGCAAAAGAGAATATATGCTTTCACAAAATATGTGTAGATATAATTATTTATCTTCCCATTAAAATGTTTCCTAAAATGTGTTTTACAAAAACAAAACAAACAAACAAAAAAACAGCTGGCTGCACTGTTCCCTCCTAACTCTGTGCCCACTTCACGTTAGGAGTGAGGCCTAGGCTGCAGGAAGGGTGTTTATGCCATGGGATATGGCCAGAGCTCTCCCACTTCTCTGATCAGATGACTCGAATACTGTCCTGGGTCAGAGTCCGATGTTTTGGGGAGCTATTCTTCCATACCTTCTGCCTTAATTAGTTTCTATTGCTGTAATAAAACACCATGACCAACTCTGGGAGGAAAGGATTTATTTCATGTTAGAACTTTCAGTTCACACTCCACCACTGAACGAAGTCAGGGCAGGAACCCAAAACAGGAACTGAAATGGAAGCCGTGGAGGACAGTTGCTTACTGGCTTGCCTAGCTAAAGCCTGCTTTCTCATACAACCCAGGACTACCTGCCCAGGGGCAGCATGGTGACAGTCTTTTCAAATGACTCTAGATTATGTCAAATGGACCAAACAAAATTTAAAAACAAAACAACAGCAACAACTAGAATACTTTATTTCTAAATAGAGAAGTTCTGATGGAAATTCACTGACTCCGAAAGTCACGTGCGAATGAGAGGGTGCAGAAGTGTTTGCCCCTCTGGCAGGCTGAATGGTGCTTGACTAGTAAGTGGTGTCTGTGCCCTTTAATTTAGAAAGGGCTTAAGGCATGATAGATGCGGAGGATGTAACCTCTGATGGAGTGAACTCTTTCCAATTCTGAAACCACATTCACCAAGGACAGGGTGGCAGCTATGAAGGAAGTAAGGCCTCATAGACATTACCTCTGTGCTAGCCATGTAGTGTCCATGCTTTCCCTCAGAGGTGGCTGTGTGACATGGTTTCAAAAACCACAATGGCATCTAATTCCCAGACACATTCACCAGGTCTAGATTCATGTTCCACACTCCTTTGGCTGAGGCAGTAGAATCTGTTCCTGATGTGGGCTGCAAGTCCAGAAGCCTTGATTTTGTTACCCACCTCATCTTTCAGTGTGTGGGCCTTTGCTCTGATCCAAATTTAATGCCAATGTCCAGCTATGATCCTCGGTCCCCAACCACATCCGGTTTCCTATAAGCTCAGGAGGTTCAGTGCTGATCTCTCCTTAAACCTCTTTCATGCTTTGTCAAGGGCTCCCAGCTCCAACCCCAGATCTGCACCCTGAATAGCCCTCTGCATCTACCCTTCCCCTCTTCTCTGAATGGCTGACTTTCTTGCTTTCTCTGAGGTTTTCCTGTACTTCCTTGTGGTCTGGACATTTCCTTACTATCCTGTATGACTTAGTTTGGTTACCAGCCCTTAGGACTATTATGGAACACCCAGGTGGAGGTGATGAATATAATCGCCACACACCTGTGTTTGGTTGCTGACAGACTGTGAGCCTTGTAGAGCAAAAACTGTGATCTTGCTTGGTCCAGTGTAGCAGGCTGTTTGTGAACAAGTGGCCCCTGAGGCCCTAGGCTGACCTGCATCTGAGGAGGGCACTTTTGTTGGTATTTGTATCTTTTCTTTGTAAATAGTTAAATATTTATCAGTTTGTATGCTTTTATCTCCCTTGTGCCCTTGAAATTGTGGACCATCCTATCCCAGCAGAGTCAGCATGTTTATGTCATTCTTGTGTTATATCTCCTAGCCCCAAATCATTGAGAAATTATATGAGAAAATGGTACTGAGCATATGGAAATTCTCCTTACCATAATTCTCATAGGAGCCAATGAGAGTGATAGGCTTTGTGGTTCATGTTCAGTCCCTCTGCCATTTCACGTAGGGACATTTTCATAGTTAGGAAAGGGGTCTTGCTTAGCGATCATTCTTGGAGTCATGCCAAAAGACCTGGCCTGGATGCACTGAGAATACAGTCATCTGCAGATACTCATGTGGAAGGGTCCTGGCGAGTTGGGCCTGTGACCAGTGTGAGCTCCATCCTAGTCCTTTTAAGTGTTCAGGGTCCAGGTATTGCTTTGAAGACTCTAGGCCAAAGAAGGCAAAACCTTCTGGAAAACTGTTCCAGCTGTTGTCTTGCCAGGCATCATACTCTGGACTAGACCATTGTGTGTCCACTCTAGTGCCTGAGCATGAGGCCTTGTAAGATAGGGCTCTGCTCAGCTGAGGAACCTGAGGCCTTCAGACACCAGTCAGACACTGCTGGAATGGGAGATGGTACAGGCCCAGGCTCTTTCTGATGGCAAGTCTGTGGACACCTTCTGGGCCCTGCAAGTCCAGGGAATGGTGCTAGATCCCCAAAGAATGTACCAACAGAGCACCAGTGAGTACTGGTGACAATACTCATTTTTCAGACTAGACAGAAGAACCAGACTCCACTTAGAACATTACCTTTCCAATGCGTTTCAAAAAAATAACCTGTCCCTGTCCTTGCCTGCCTGGTCAGTCCCCTCACCCCCACCTGCCATTTCTTAGGAGATGGCTTCAGAGAAGGCCAAAGCTGCAGCTGGAGAGGCCAAGGTGAAGAAGCAGCTGGTAGCCCGGGAGCAGGAAATCGCAGCTGTGCAGGCACGAATGCAGGCCAGCTACCAGGACCATGTGAAGGAGGTGCAACAGCTGCAGGGCAAGGTAGGTAAAGGGGAAAGGAGTAAGCCTGGTGAGTCTTGGGGGCACAGAGGGTGAGACTTGATCTGGGACCGAGGAAGTCTGCTGGGGATTGAATTTGACTGGATGTTTGTATACATATCTGGTGTTAATAACCAGGAAGGTTTAAAATATATTTTAAAGAACACCTTTATAAAAGGTGGTACCTGAGGGGCAGGGTATCAGGCTCCAGGTAAGGTTGGAGTGATTTTGGTTACACTTTCTCCATGTGGTTGGGAGGATCCCACAGAGTAGGAGACCTGAACATCCCTTTACCTGGGTCTGGAGACCAGCACTGGTGACTCCGTCTGGACTGACCTTCTGACCTTCACTGTCAGAGCTTGACATTTATCTTCTGAAACCTATGCTTGGCTCATTCTGGGCATGACTACCTCCCGTCACATGTCTCACATGTGGGCTCAGAAGGTAAGAAATGAGCCCTCCTTGAGGTAGTTGTGCTTTGTGGCCATGTGCTTTTTTCTCTCAGAATAGTACACCTGTGTGACCTCAGGTACATGTGCATTGGGAGGTAGAGAGCAGTATGGGTAATGAGGAAGGAGAGCCACTTGTCCCTGAGACCCTGACACTGGAGACAGTGCTTAGGCCCCTTGCTTTATGCGCACTCCTGACTTGCCTTGGTGCATATGTAGCCTCCACACCATCCACTTTGAGCTGTGTGACCTTGCTAATGGTGGTCTGGCATCAGTCCTCTGTATGTGGCTGGCCAGCCCTGATGTTCTTGTTGGTAACTTTTCAGATCCGGACTCTTCAGGAGCAGCTGGAGAATGGCCCCAACACCCAGCTGGCCCGCCTGCAGCAGGAGAACTCCATCTTGAGGGATGCATTGAACCAGGCCACCAGTCAGGTGGAGAGCAAGTAAGCTGAGTGTCCATGCAGAGACCGTGGTACCATGTTCCCTAGGGCTTAGAGCCTGGGTGGACTTAGTGGGTCTTTGTGGGCTTATGGGGCTGGTGTGGCAGCTATTCACAGGGCTTCCTGTGATTTTCTACTCTCCCCACATCGAGCATCTATGTGATTTCTGAGCAGTTGACTCTTGGCAGCTGGTCCAGAGCTCCTCATGTCATTGATGGCCTCAGAAAGAGCCAGTGTGTGCCAACCTGCTGCCCTTCCTTGCTAGTATACAGGGTATGGGGAGGGGCCTGTCATAGATTGCCAAAGCCAGGTTTGTTCTGGATGAGAGTATAGCTGTTACAAGGACCTGCTGTGATCTGTACTCCACTGGGAGGACATGGGGACCGAGGAACTCCATTACTCTGTCATGTGGAATCTGCTGTCACTTTCTGGAGAAAGTTCTGAAGTTTGGGGAATTGTCACCAAGAGGCAGCTGCTGCCTCCCCTCAGTCTGGAAACCGTGCCTGGGTGTTCCATAAGGTAGAGGGTACACAGCAGCAAAGTGGTTTTTACCAGCCCTGTCTCCATCTACAGGTCCTAAGCAGTCCTTCCCAGGGCACTTGGGTCTGTGCACTATATGGTGCTTGAGCTCTGTGGTGTAGTTTCTGATAGAGTTAGGAACCCTGAGACAGAGAACAGGGACCCAATCTGTCACAGGAGCACAGCTGCTCATAGCAAGGTTTTATACTTCTGTCTGTCCCCTTGTCTTGTCTTAGGCTTTTTCTGTGCTAGTGACAGAGGTAGACATTTGGTGAGTCTCAAACTTCCTTTCAATAAGTTTCCTGAAATTCCAAAATGTTCTCATGGCCTGAGACCCTCACTGAAGGCACTTTCTTCTAAGTTTCTTGATCTCTAGCTTTGAGTGACCTCCCTAGTCATGAGCTGGAACAATGAGCCAGGACAAGTGCCATCAGTGCCTTCAAGAAGCACTCCCTTAGCCTGGTCATCACAGGAATTTGTGAGCTGCTGTCCAGCCCCTGCAGGGGGTGAGGGGGAGGTGCCTTGCACCTATCTTGCCTTTGTTCTGAGTTTCTAATAGTGTCTAATAGGGAGAGGCCTTCGGCACCAAAAGCCATGTGGTTGACATGCGAAAGACTCTTAGATAATGGGCCTAAGACTTGGGCACTAAAAAAGAAAAGGGCAGATATGCCTGATGGAGGAATCAGTTGCCAGTCTCTATCACCCTCCTTAATTGGGGCTGGGGACTGTCTTGCAGGCAGAACACAGAACTGGCAAAGCTCCGACAGGAGCTTAGCAAGGTCAACAAGGAACTAGTAGAGAAGTCGGAGGCCTCCCGGCAGGAGGAGCAACAACGGAAAGCTCTGGAAGCCAAGGCAGCCACCTTTGAGAAGCAGGTCCTACAGCTGCAGGTGAGTAGCATGGTAGCCACCTCAGTGTCCATTTGCTGCCCACCAAACCTGATTGTACAGCAGGAATGGTGGCTGGTCATACTGAGATATCCCTTTCCATCAACACTAACAGCTAAAGATGTAGTCAGTGTTGGGGCTTGAACCCTTTGTCTTGTTAAGAGCAATAGTAAATGCTGTGTGCTAAATATCAGTATAAGTGTTTAGTATCAGTAAGTATTAGCTGTTATTGTACCCTACCCTATAAGGTAGCAACTGCTGGCATCTGCCACTTACTCACAAGGACGCTAGTGGCCCAGAGAAGTGAAACAGGTCCCCAAAGTTTGCATGACAGAGTCAGAACCTGGGTCTCAGAATCCAGCTACTGCAGCTCTGGAGTGGCCAGTGAGCTAACTGGCTGTTTCCCAAGGGGAGTCCAAGAGCTTGTGTGAGGTTGATTGGCCTAGGCTGAGGCAGTCAGAACTGAGCCTTGCTTCCTGTCTGTTCCTGGACTTGATAGCAGCACCTGTTTTGCAGTGTGACGTTGAGAATGAGCCAAGGAAGATAGTAGCTTAACTTGTGGAGAGAAAGGGCTCTTTCCATTCTGTCCTTCCTTCACCTGCAGCCCCTTGACTGTGAGTCAGCTCACTTCAGGATCAGGGCAGGCGAGGCCTACTGGGTTGGTTCTCAGAGCATAGGCATAGCTGGCCCTAACCCTGACTAGAACCATCTCCCAGGCATGGCAGAAAGGAAGTGTAAAATGTTTTTTGAGGTACTGATGACCCCTGCCCTTGCTCCTTTTCCCTGGATGGACTGAAGTTTAGAGTCTCAGCCGTGTTTATGGAAGTCCCAAGTCAGTTGGCCTAGCATAGAACTAGCCTTTGGAATCCTTTGATGAGACTGGCTGTGTTGACCACCTTGTTCCAGGCTAAAAGACTTGCTGTTTCCTAAGATGTATGTATGTACTTTCTGTAAAAGTTTTGAACTTTTTGATTTCTGTAGATCAATGAATTTCCTGTGATTGCTTGTTGATGAAATCAGTATCTAGTTAATGTTGGCCATGAGTAGAAAAACGTGCAGTCTCCCTGGAGTCTGGGTTAGCTCTTCTCCTTAATGAATAGAGACACAGATGGGCCGGTGGCATTCTTGCACAGGTGACATTTCTGTCCTGTCCCTGTCAGTACCAACAGAGTGGTGAGGATATTCGAGTCCAAGTAGGGAAGCAGGTTCCTGCTGTGATGGGTGGGCAGAGAAGAAGCAGGCCTGCCCACTATGGGGCACTGGACCACTTTTTTGTGTCTTTAACTTGGAGCTGAGCCAACCTTTTGCCACATTTGAATATAGAGAAAGCATTATCTACCCTAAAGCCACCCCATCTTTTCCCTGTATAGTGCATGCTTTTCTATAGCCGAGGGGACATATCCTTTAGTAAGGGCTGCCCTATCACTGGATTTAGCTTGGTCTCTGTGGCTCTCATTAAAGTGATTGGCCTAGCACCACCCTAGAAGAGAAGGAAAATGGTGTTTTCATTCTGTTAGCCCCTTAAATTGTTTGAGGCATGACCTGAAATATCACTTTCACTGACTAGAGTTATTTGTTAACTGTCCCCTCTCACTCACCCATTCCCCAGACAGACTGGGATTTTGTAGAGATATGGTCCTTCGTAGAATTCGGCCTGTTAAGTACTCCATCCCCAGGAGCCCAGTGTATGGGAAATGATTGACAAATGGTCTGAAAAGGATTGATGGAGCTCACCAGAGATGAGAAAGGCCTTTCTGCCACTGAGTGGGCAACAGAGAGCATCAGGCACCTCAAAACTGTGTTGCTCTGAACAAGGATGAGGTGGGCCTGTCTGTATTGACATGGAAGTCTTCCAGGTGCAGACTAAAAATAAGAGAAATGGCCATTTTACAGATCAAATATGGTTGAACACTCATGGTTTTGTATGGCTGAACTTATAGGTGAAGAGGCTAGAAGTGCTTTGCTTGTGTGCGGCTGCTTCAAAGGAGAGAATTGACACCAATGGGCAAACTGTTGTAATTTAAGAAAAGCAGCTTGAGAGAGAAAGGCACCATGCAACAGAGTTCAAGCAGAGGGTTTTTATTTTATTATTAAGGGGAAAGGATTGTAAAAAGGGGAGAGGGAAGACTGGCTTCCAGAGACAGGAGCAGCAGGAGAGAGGAAAGAGGGAGAGAGAGAGAGAGAGAGAGAGAGAGAGAGAGAGAGAGAGAGAGAGAGAAAGAGAGAGAAACTCTAGCAGTTGTCCTCTGATTGAAGGGGTGCTAGCTGGGGGAATATTTATCCAGAAATAGTTTCTTCCTTTGTTGAAATTACCTTGTAAGAGTTAGTTCTCACCTATCGAGTGGGTCCCAAGGATTAAATTCAGATTCCCATGCTTGGAGGCAAGCACTTTCACCTGCCGAACCATGTTACTGGCCCTGAACTTTGTTCTTTGCCCACTATCCAGAGACTGCAGTGAATAGGATAGCCATGTAAAAAGCCCCTCTCTTCAGCTCCTGAGCTTACAGGAGCTAGGCCTCTTCCTTAGCTCCTCACAACCCTCGAACCTTTGTTCCTCCTCAGGCATCCCATAAAGAGAGTGAAGAGGCTCTGCAGAAGCGCCTTGAGGAGGTCACCCGGGAGCTATGTCGGGCCCAGAGCAGCCATGCCAGCCTCCGGGCAGATGCCGAGAAGGCCCAGGAGCAGCAGCAGCGAATGGCAGGTGAGTGCATTCTCCGTGGCTCTTTCCAATGAGTCTACCCAGTGCCCTTGTCTCACTGAGGGAACCAGAGCATAGTGTTCCAGGACTGTCTGTCGAGTACAGAGTAGGACCTGGAACGGTTAAAGATGAGGTGAGGACAGTAGGACAAGGGCAGGGCCTGGATGAGTCTTAGATAGTGCTGGTGATGAGAATGTAGCCATCAGTCACTTACCCACCATTCCTCCTGAACTCCTGACATGGGCACCAGGCTAGCAGCAGTGCTAGCCACAAGGACTAGTCACAGCAGTGCCTTCTGGACAGATAGTACGTGGAGGGGCAGAAGGTAAATACTTGACTTACTGAGATAGATGATTTTTGTTACAACTCTGCTGTTGGGGGCAAAGCAGCCATTGATATCCTGTAATCTGCAGTCCTGGCATTGAAACAAAACTTTATTTACTGGGGGTGAGCAGCCTCAGGCCAGCTTGCTGGCCTCTGCTCTAGAAGGCCAGATATGCCTTTAGCCAGTGTATGCTTTCCAGGGTAGGTGGGATCTTAAAGCTAAGTCAGAGTGCTGGAAGGGGAGGCCAGCTGGCACAAAGCCTCAAGGAAGGAGTGAGCTTGACCTGTGCATGACCTGTGCATGCTAGAGTGAGAAAGCTGCCTGGGTGAACAGGACCTTTGTTTCCCTCTGAGTGGTAAAGTGACAGGAGGATTTGGGGCAGAGAAATGACTCAGCTTCCCTGGCATTTCTCAGAATCATGGTGCAGGGTCAAAATGGGCAGTGGGAGCAAGAGTGACTCCAAGGAAGAAGGGGGTGAGATGAGGCAACTGCCATTGTCCAGACTCTGGTGGCCACAAGGGGCTGAAGAGGAGGCAGACTGTCAGTTGGTGGGTACAGAGCCCCATGCTTCAGTGATGGGGGGAGAGGTGAGCTAAGGCAATACAGCACCCAAGATCCCACACCTGGGAAGCTGGGATTCAGGGTCTCTGTTGCCTTGTTCAAGCTCCATTTGGAAGCAACAGGAAGCAACACCTTGGACTAAGCCTGAGGATCAGCTTCAGGGAGAGGGAATGTCAAGAGGCCCTGGGCCTACTTAGCTGTGGGACTTCGGAAATGACCCTAGGAGGAGGATGTCTCCTGCAGAGAAAGGCCAGGCAGGTCCTTGGGAAGGAAGGCCCAGTCACTAGATGTCTCACTTATGCACTTAGTCTAGCTCATACGAGACAGTGTTTTGTAGAGAATGAATCTTGTGCCATTTCCCCTGAATGTACTTTGCCTGCTGTTAGTTTTCCATCAGTGGTTCATTTCAGCACCTTGTGGTGCTCAAAGGTGTTGCTGCCACAGCATGCCTTTCTTTACCAGTCCACAAGAAACTTCGTGCGGATGTGTACTTGAAGGTCTCTGGGCTCAGAGCACAGCCCAAAAGGGAGCCCCTGGTATTCTGTGTGTGTTGGAGGAGGAGGCAGTAGCTGAGGTGCCCAGGCAAGCATTTCCAGACCCTGACCTCTCTCCTTGCCCTTCTACAACAGAACTGCACAGCAAATTACAGTCTTCTGAGGTAGAGGTAAAAAGCAAGTGTGAGGAGCTGAGTAATCTTCACGGGCAGCTCAAGGAGGCCAGGGCGGAGAACGAACAGCTCACAGAGAGGATCCATTCCATCGAGACCCTTCTGGAAGCAGGCCAGGCCCAAAATACCCAGGTCAGTCACTTCTCAGGCTAATCCGAGGAGAGGGTGGACTCCACTGAGCAAAGGGCCTCCCACCTTGCCCAGTTCCTGTACATTGAGCCTCATGGAACCAAGGAGCTTTCTGTGTTTCTTTCAGGCCAGTCAAGCTGAGGCCGACCAGCAGCAGATTCGGTAAGCTTCAAGGAGGGCTCTGCGGAGCTGCAGGGCTGTAGCTGAAGCTATCACCCAGGTTGGCCATGGGCCCCTGGAACCTGGAGCTTTCACTGGAATGCTTGGGTCTCCTGTGGGGGAGGGGGGCCCTTCTAGAGTCCCCTTTCTTAAACTGGCCCTTCAGTGACATAGAGGACAGGAGACAGACTTAGGTAGGAAACAAAGCCACCTTGAAAGAGTTTTCCATCATTACAGCAGAATACATGAAGCTGGGTACTCTTAAAAAGAAAAGATACTTATTTAGCTTGCAGATTTGGTATCTGGCTTCCTGTGAGTGGCCCCCTTGGCAGGACTCCATATAAGGAGGAAATTGCTTGTGGTGAGACAGGAAGAGAAATTATTCCTTTTTAGGGCAACATTCCCATGACCTAACTACCTCCCCCTAGGCCCTGCCCCTTAAAGATTCCACTCCTTCTTAACACTTGAGGCTTCTATAGCACAAATCCCTGATGAACACAACAGCAGAACTCAGAGCAAGCTGTACTGTCACTCTCCAGGAGCAAACTGAGCTGTGCAAGGGAAAGGCTTCCCGCAGCTCAGTTCAGAGGTGCTCTCATTTTCTGCAAGGTGAGGGGTTTTTAGGGGTTAAGGCCCAGAAGTCAAATGAGGTGGACGCCCCCCCTCCCTTTCTGTTGGAGTAGTCCAGAGCACATAACAGAGCTCATTTCCTTTGTGAGGTGACTTCCCTGCCAGCCAGACTATTTCCCCCCAGTGTCAGGAGCCATACAGACCCACACTAGGCCATTCTCAGGGCTGTGTGTTGTTGTTGCTAAGGCCAAAGTATCTAGATGGGCCAGCTTGAATCTGGCTCACGTCCTTGTGACCAGTACCTCTGGGGTAGAGATGCCCACAGGCTTGGGATGTGAGTCCTGGCTGCCATGGTCTAGGACCGCAGAGCAGCCATGTGAAGGAGAGGCTTGAAGGATGGTCTTCATCTCCTTCATACTGGAAGTGTCTTAGAATTATCAGCCAACAAGATTCCTCATTCTTGCTGGCAACTGGAAGTGTCTTAGAATTATCAGCCAACAAGATTCCTCATTCTTGCTGGCAACTGGAAGTGTCTTAGAATTATCAGCCAACAAGATTCCTCATTCTTGCTGTCTCTGCCAAAGAGTTGTTTCCCCATGTGCTTTGCAGCAAATGAAGCTCATGCAACTCCCTAGCCACAGCCGGTCTGTTGCCTGGTGTCCACCGGGCTCTGTAACTGGGAAGGGGGGCAGTGCTAAGAAGGAAAGTGGGAACCTACTTGAAGACCCAGAAACCAACTCCACTTTCTTGCTCAGAATGCACAGGTGAACCTCGTTTGTCCTGATGATCTGTATGAGGTGGAGAGGTTGTGTTCATTCAGGGCTTTCTCCTGTGCTTTAAGATCAGATCTTTGAAGTCTGGCATGATAAGACATACCTGTAATTTTGACATTTGGAAGATTGAGGCAGGAGGATTACAAGTTGAAGGACAGACTAGCCTACAAACCTCCTCAGATTTTTGTATCACACAGTAAATTACTAAGATAATTAAGTCACACTCCAAAGACCTGTTAATGTCTTGCCTGGTGTTGGTCTGTCCAGCAGGAACTAGTTGATTTCCTTCTGAATCAGTGTATTTGTAGTTGACTGGGCAGGGCCTCCTTTTCTGAGCTGGAGTACCAACCCAAGTTGTTCTGAACTTTACAGCCACTGACAAGGAAGTTATGGTCAGTGTGTCCTTGCCACTGATCTGCACTCCCCGCTTCTTCAGGGTCTTGCCCTAGGCATGCGTGGGTGTTGTGCTGGAAGAGACTCTTGTATAATGCTGGCACTAGAGGGAGTAGCTGAAAGATCCCAGTGGAGCCTTGAGTGGAGGCAAGGTTCCGTGGGCCTGAAACCCATAGCCACGAGGCCCACTAGAGTCTTCAAGTCCAGGCCTGTTGTATTCATATTGAAAACAGGAAGCTGTGCCAGGCTGAGTCCATTATTCGTCAGGGAGGTCAAGATGGTCATGTGTTCAGCCCATGCTGACCTTATAGTTGATGTTAGTGTGGATCAAAATGGTGGTTTTCAAAAAGCTTTGGTGATGCCTCCCAGAAGAAACATGGGTGTGTGTTCCCCTCTAGCCGACATTGGCAGTCAGATCCCTGCATCTCTAGACTGGTGGCAGCTCCCCTCTGCCAGGCTTCTCCTGGCATCTCAAGACTTGCTCAAGCTGCTGGTTCAAAATATCATTGATGTCTTGGGATTTTATTGCTCTGAAGAGACACCATAACCATGGTGGCAAGTCTTATAAAGGAAAGCATTTAATCAGGGCTGGCTTACAGTTCAAAGGTTTAGTCCATTATCATCATGGTGGGAAGCATGGCAGCACACTAGCAGACACAGTGCTGGAGAAGGAGCTGAGAGTTCTACATATGGATCTGCAGGCAGCAGGAAGTAGCAGTGACAAACTGGCTAAGCTTGAGATTCTGAGACTTCAGAGCCCACCCTCTCTTCCAACAGAGCCACACCTACTTCAACAAAGCCACACCTCCTAATAGTGCTACTCCCTATGGGCCTATGGGTACCATTTTTATTTAAACCACCACAGTTGACTACTTCTGAACTTGGGGTTTCACATATCTTGGTCGTGCCATCCGTTCTACATTCTAGTGCAGAAGTTATCACATTAAGGTGTCCATTTGAGGCTCATCCCTAAGAGCCTTGAGGATAGTTTTTATTTCTGCATGGTTAAGGTCGATGAAGCTTACTGGAGAGCACTGGAAAGTTGGGGACTTAAACCATTCTGTAGTGTGATAGGTTGTCTTCTGCTAATTCCTCAAACCTCAGTCCCAAGGAGAAGGAGCTTGTAAATCTCAGGAGAGTTAGAAGTCAGTGGGCCCTTGAGAGCTGCTAAGAACAGTGGTGCCAGAGTTCCAGTGGGAAAGGCAACAGCACAGCCCTTAGTCCTTTGCACAGTTCCGAGGGCCAGGTATGCACCACAGACCTGGGCTAGAAAGAAAGAAGGTCTTAAAAACCTTACTTCTGACTCTCACCCAGGGCTGTGCCCTGACTTTTGGCACTTAAGGTGAGTGGAAAAAGAGGCTAGGCACACAGGCTTTTCTGAAAGGGGGCGGGGAGTGAGACACATGATGGATGGGACTTCAAGCTGGGCCAGGTGCCTAGGCAGAGAAGAAATGAGTTCTTAGAGCCAAGACTAAAACCTCATCATAGCCCCCCCTCCTCCCTCCAAGTCTCAAGGAGCTGGAATCACAGGTGTTGAGTCTGGAGAAGGAGACCAGTGAGCTCAAGGAGGCTATGGAGCAGCAAAAGGGGAAGAACAATGTGAGTAGAGGGGGCCTGCACTGGGGTGGGATGAAGGGAGGCGGGCAGAGTCCTCCAGAAGTCACTGGAGACACTCTATGTAGACCACCTAGGCCCTATGGGACCTGGCTTTGCCCCCAGCTCCTTTCCCATTGTTTGTGCTGAGAGTCTGTGGTGTGTGCTGAGCCTCTCCTGCTTCTCCACTCCACATAGTCCACAGCTGTCCCACAGCAGACTGCCCAGGCATGAAGCCACCTCTGTGCTGGGGTTGCAGTGTGCTAGTTGACCTGGCTCAGGGCTTGTGGTCCCTTTGAACAATTGAGGGTAGGGAGGGTGATGCTAGAAGACATGAAGAAGCCATGCTGAGCAGGTGACATGCCTCCCCACTGAGGCTGTGCTTGTACTGCCTTGTCACAGTGCCCCCATAGAGAATAAAGCCTCCCAGGGAAGTCTCCAGGCCAGAACTGTGCCAGGGGCCATGCTTTCTGTTTTGGGGGCAGGAAAGTCTTCCCTCTGAAGAGATAAGCTAGCTCCCCACTTCCTCTTTCCTGAAAATGGCAGGCCGGTTTACCTTGTGCTTTGACCATTCCTACTTCTGGCCTGCTTTGTATTGAGCACCTGCTCTGAGAGGCCATGTATACATAGACCAAAGAAAGGAGAGTTAGTCCCTAGCAGGTTCTGTGAGATGCCCTGGTCTGGGCCAAGGGAGGTTCTATGGGCCCTGCTTTTGCTGAGACCAGCTTGAGGTGGCCAGTGGGGACCATGCTATAATTGACCCACACGAGCTGCTGACTTTCTCTGGTTCCCTCAGGACCTCCGAGAAAAGAACTGGAAGGCCATGGAGGCACTGGCCTTAGCTGAGCGGACCTGTGAGGAGAAGCTACACTCTCTAACCCAAGCCAAGGTAGGGGCAGCTGCCCATCTTGAGTGCTTTGGTCAAGCTAAGGCTGGAGCAGCAGTACCTGTCTACTTTGGCAAATACCATGAGACACAAGCCATGGATGGGCTAGCCGTGGCCTCAGTGTCTCCTGCATCCAACTCAGGGTCCCCAAGTCTCATGTCCTCCTCTTTCCTATCTCCTTCCTTCCTTCCTTTCATTTTTCCTTACGATGGAGAGAAGAAATTTGTGCCCTTGATGCCTTTCCCATGTCAAGAGGAGTGCAGACTCTGAGCAAGCCCAGGGTTATGCAGCTTATGGATTTTGTGCAGTTTTCATTCTGTGTTAAGTTGAATATTCTTGAGTGTTTCTCAGGCCCTCTGAAATTATATTGCATTTCAGGGAAATAGTAATGAGCATTTGGGCAGGAAAGTCCTCCAGGGCCCTTGGTTGGCCAGGAGCCAGAACGAGTTGTCATCCCTGCAGTGGTGACACCTAAAGCTCCTTGTACACCTGTGCTCATCACACGTTTCAGTCCCGTGTGAAAGGATGTCTCCTGCCAGCATCACTTACACAGGAGTGTCCGTCTCCATAGGACAAGCTTTGCAGTGACTCTCATGGTTCTCCTGGGAAGCCTGAGGGCTTTCCAAAGACTGACGAGGGAGGCTAGCCTTGGCCACACTACATTCTTAGAGCTGAAATCAGACTTCTAGAATCTTAGACTTTTAGTCCTAGAAATGACCTGTGACCATCTGGACCCATGTTGTGGCAAATGTGGAAGTTCTGGCCTAAGCTGTTACCTAACTGATAGAAGAAGTTCCCTCACATGTCATGCTATTTGCCTGCATGCATCGGCTGTATAGAGTCAAAGTACTGCTCACTAGGTTGGGGTCCTTGCCATCCCAAACCTCAAGCCATGTCCAATGGGGTGGAACTACCAGTGAGTTCTGTATGTCTCAGATTTAGACAGAACTTTACTTTTAGGACAAAGTTCCCTGGAGCCACACTTGTGGGCTTTGTCTCCTGGCTCCTTTATCCATCTCTCCCCCACCCACCCCCAGCTTTGAATAGGGGCTCTGGCTCCCTCTGGAGGGCTAGTGAGGAGTGTCAGGCTTGGCACAACTTGGTCACTAAGTCAAGCTTAGGTCACCTTCACTGTGTTCTTAAAGTTGGTTTAGCTTTGCCTCGTGGGAATTTGGTCCCCTTCTCCAGGGTAGCTGGAGGTGAGCCTCTTCAACCTCTGTCCCTGTCTCCCACTGGACCTAAGCCTGGTGGCTGCTGGGGATGCCCTACTTCCGCCTTCACTGTTTCACCTGCACCTTCTAGCCTCTTCCTGCCCCCACCTTGCCCTAGCTGTACACTTTAGCTTGGTCCTTATACATGTGTATATATCCTTGCACACACAAGCTGGAAAGGGAAAGTTTATGGGAGCCTAGTTGCTCTGACCTGTCCCTCCCTTGAAGTGCCGAGGATGTGCCCTTCTGGAGGCATAGGCTGAGTGCTACCCTTCTCTCTCCCATCCTCCAGGAGGAATCAGAAAAGCAGCTCCATTTGGCTGAGGCCCAGACCAAGGAAGTCCTGCTGGCCTTGCTCCCAGACCTCTCCATCTCAGCACACCAGGTAGGAAGAAGGATGGCTCCCCGGGTCCCCACTGTTGTCAGGGAGCAACTTGGCCCCACCATACCTGTTTCCTTGCAGAACTATGCTGAGTGGCTGCGGGAAGTCAAAGAGAAGGGCTCTGAGCTGCTGAAGAAACCACCTGCTTCCCTAGAGCCCTCCTTGGTAAGTGATGCTCCTAGGAACCAGGAGCCCAGCTTTTTCAGTGAGTCATGAAGAGAAAAGAACTAACAAGACTCCCGATCATCCCTCTGCCCTCAGGACGTAGTCTCCAAGTTGAGGGAAGCCGAAGAGACCCAGAACTCCTTGCAGGCTGAGTGTGACCAGTACCGCAGCATCCTGGCGGAAACGGTGAGCAGCCAGGGCCAACTTTGGTGGTGACTTGGTGGTGACTATGACTCAGTGTTCCTAGGGCACTGCCAGGAAGAAGAGCTTGGCATCTTTAGGGCAGGAGATAGCATGGTTCTGTGTGACCTCAAATAGCCCCCTTCCCCTCTCTGGGTCTCATTTCTTTAGCTGGATGGTAAAGGGGATAGACAAAGCTCTTAGGTCTTCATTTTTTACATCAAACAAGGGTGGGTTTAAGGTTTGGGGCTAGGAGAGATGGTTACAATTGGGATGCCTGGGCAGACAGGGAGGAAGGAAGGACAAGATAGACCTAGGGTTAAGCCCTTTGATTCCAAAAACAGCAGGAGTTCTGGCAGCTTTACTGGGGCTGTAGACCTCATTTCCTGATAAAGCCCTGCCCTGGCCACCTTCTTTCCTCCGTGACACCGAGTCCAACAATCAGTGAGACAGAATAGTGCTGCTGAGGGTCAAGAAGATCCAGTATGTATTTGTGGAATCAAACTCATGAGGGAGAGGGCCTGCCTCATTCTTGCCTCCGTCCTCTCCAGGAGGGTATGCTCAAAGACCTGCAGAAGAGTGTTGAGGAGGAAGAACGTGTGTGGAAGGCCAAGGTGGGAGCTGCTGAAGAGGAGCTCCAGAAGGTATGGCTGGCCTACATGCTTCCTGAGCTTGCTGCCACAGCATGGGTGGGCCCCCGAGCTGGCTGGACCCAGGAGTCTTCCCCCAGATTCTCACGCGTGATGGGTCTTCTCCTTTTGTAGTCACGGGTCACAGTGAAACATCTGGAAGACATTGTAGAGAAGCTAAAAGGAGAACTTGAAAGCTCAGATCAGGTATGTCTGCTTCTGTTCTGAGGGTTGCTTTCTGTTGTCCTATAAATTTGCTGGTCAATCCTAGCACTTAGGAAGTGGATCTCAGTGAGGTCGAGGCCAACCTGGTCTACAAAGAGCATTCCAGGAAAGCTCGGACTGTTACACAGAGAAACCCTGTCTGGAAAAACAAAAACAAAAAACAAAAATTGCTAGTAATGTTCTGATAGTCAGCAAAGATTGCATGTGTCCTTGTTATTTTTTTCCTCATGGAACCCATGTTCAAGGAGGCTGTCACTCTTCTGAGAAAGGGCTTTGTCCTGTTGAGCCTAAGTGATAAGCTTTTACAGCCTCAGTGGCCTAGGAGCCATGGGTTGTGTAGCTCTGCCCAGTAGTGCTATGGTTGTAGACCTTAGAATTCAGACGTGTGCTTACAGGGGCCTGCTGCTCTTGAGGATACTGCAGCAACCTTGGCTTTGAAAAGGTACCCTCTGTCCTAAGCTTTGCCAGTACACCTAAGAGCTGTCTACCCACTCCTGAAGCCTGAGGATTTTTCAGGACCCAGCAGGACTGGAATGGGGCTTTCTTGCTAGGGATTGTTTCTCAGTTTACCCAGTAGTATTTTTACACTTGCTTATTTCAGGGCCAACCAAACTTGGGACCTATCATCCCACTCATATAATTAAGGCCCCTGCTGGCTACTGAGGAGGCTCTGACCAGTGTTCATGTCTGTCCCTGCCCAGGTGAGGGAGCACACTTCATTTCTGGAAGCAGAGCTGGAGAAGCATATGGCAGCTGCCAGTGCAGAGTGCCAGAATTATGCCAAGGAGGTAGCAGGGGTAAGTGAATCCACTATTCCAAAGCCTAGGAGTACCTAGTGGCTCCTTCTTTACTGTTTGAGAGCTTGTCAATGGGAGCCTTAAAAGCTAGGTTTTCAGACTTTCATCCAAAGCCTTGCTCATGTCCCTGTAGACCGACAGCCCTGAGGCGTCTTGGGGCAGATTTCAGAAAGGCAGTTCCAAGGAGGGGCAGGGGCAGAGCCTTTATTTTGAGAGTGGCACCTCATGCTCTAGCTGGCCCTTCAGCATGTGGCCTTTGTGCCAGGCTTGCTGCTGTCATTGTTAGCTGGGACTGGATTTCAGTCTGCTACTGTCCTGTGATTTCAGGAGCAGAACCCCAAGCCTGGCACCTTCAGTCTAGTTTTGGTGCAAACTTTTGCTCTTTAACAAGAGAGACAGTGGGCAGGTGTTTCAGAAGCCTAGGTGTGCAGTCATTCCTAAATCAAAATGACAGGAAGTGATAGCTGGAGGAACCTGCCCCTTCTATGTCAGTCTCCCGGGCTTGGGTTCCATCTTGGGGTTAGGTTTGGACTCACTGGAAACTGTTTTCTTCTTTTTTCTCCTCTACCCCTCACCTGGTGTTTCCCCTGAAGTTGAGGCAGCTTCTGTTAGACTCTCAGTCTCAGCTGGATGAAGCCAAGAGTGAAGCTCAGAAACAAAGCACTGAGCTTGCCCTGGTAGGTTGTCTTATGTCCTGGGCAGGGGAGTATGACATTGGCATGTATGTATGTGTGTGATTAACTTGGAGGTGTTGTTTTGACATCCATGCAGAGACATGCCATGCGTTCGTCATGTAGTGCAGGTTTGGTGGGGCTTGGCAGTATGCCTGAAACTCCCGAGCTGGGCTAGTAGCTGCCAGGGGCCAGCATGTTCACATTCGGTTTCCCATCTTTGGGGAGACTTGGTCCCTGCTCAAGACCGAGAGCTGTGGGACATACAGGCCTTGTTAGCCTGCTTTGTCACCTGGCCATTTCAGGATATAGGACCCCTGACATCACAAGGGGGGTCCCTCATTGCCTTTTGGTGGCATACCTGTTGCTTTCTACAGGTTTTCCTGCTTTGATCATGGTTCAGGCCCTGCCAGTCTTATAGTTACACAGGGTGGCGTGCAACCTCTGGCCCTCTGCTGGCACTAGAAGCAGATAAATCTGTAGAGATGTGAGGGACTGCACTATGCAGTTAGCCTTGGAGGCCATTCTGTCTTCCTAGTTTGCAGCTACTGGGTCTCATCCCATGTCCCAGTGCTTGGCCAGCCTGTTCAGCCATAGCTGTGTTCTGTTTGAGTTGCACTGTCATTTTGAAAACCTTGAAGTAGCTGTCAGCATTTGAAATTCGGGGATTGAACATGGGGAGCTCTGGCCAGACCAGGTCTGGTGTGTTAGGCTAGCATCCTCCACACTATCTCCTAAGGCCACAATGGTCTCTCAACTCACTGGATCCAACTCTTAGGCCTTGCCCAGACTACCACACAAGAAGTGGTGTTGCCCAGGCCAAGATACTCAAATCTAAGGCCATTATTCTCAGTGATTTGCTAGGTTGGGTCTGGGTAAGAGCCCCCCAACCCCAACTGCCCCAAGGGGTACAGCCCAGGCAAGGAATGCCCATAGAACATGACTTCCAGGGGTTCTTGTCACCTTTCAGCTGTGCCCATTGGGAAGGCAGACTTGGGGTGGCCTGCCAAGTGACGCTTAAGTGGAGTCTGAGGCTGCCCAGATTTCCTGAAGAATGTGTATTGAGTTCTATCACCAGGCCTTCCTTTCTCAAGCAACCTGTGTGACCCTGCTGCCCTTCAAATGGGAGGCCTGAGGTCTAGTGGCCTCAGGGCCACTATATTGTGCAACTTGTCCCCAGCAATAGAACCCAGAGGAATGGAACATTATAAGGCAATAATTGCATCTTGTCTGGGCCCCCCAATAGGCCATGAGTGGACTACATCCTTGAACTGGAGTGTGGCATGTTGTCAGCTACCTCTGTTCCATATGGACTCCTTGGCTTTGTGTGGTGTACATCCACTGAAGTCACTTTGCTCCGGGGGGTGGGGTGGGGGGGCACCCGTTCACCTCAAAAAACACACATGGCACTCAATGGCCCAGAGGTTTGTTGGTCTCAAGGCCTCTGTTAGGCTCAGGGTTGAGTGTGGTCTATCCCTCCTGCACAAGGGTGCTCTCCACGTATGTACTTTGTGTGTATGTGTGTGTGTGTGTGTGTACGTATGTGTACGTACGTGTACTTTCATGCCACCAGCTATGTATTTGCACAAACTCACCCCTCCTGTTTCAGGTCAGGCAGCAGTTGAGTGACATGAAGAGCCACGTAGAGGATGGTGACGTGGCTGGGTCTCCAGCTGTCCCTCCAGCCGAGCAGGACCCTATAAAGGTTAGGGTGATGAGCTGTTCCTCAGATGTGTCCCTAACTTCTCAGGGGGTACTCAGGGTGGGCAGCCCCTGTGCTGACTAAACTGAGTGTAAACCCCGCTGCTAGCACCCCTCCCCACCCTGCTTGGTCAAGGGCAGGTATCCAGGGCATTTAGCCCTCACAACACCAGGGCGTCCTGGTCAGGCCTGCAGCTTGGGTTTGGGTCGATAGCCACAAAGGGGATTTGTCTCTAGCTGTGGCCCTTTTTTGGATTATTGCTAGCAGGATATCTGCCTTCTAGAGTTTTGACCAAAGGAACAGCTACCAAGAACAATTGGCAGGATCTGCTTAATGGCTTTGGCTCTTTCCTACCCTGTGAGTCCTGTAAAAGGCTCTTGAGATTGCAGTGTCTCCCCAGCATCTCTTTGCAACTTCTCTGCTTCTCTCTTGAGTCTGAGGCACTGTCAGTGACTTGCCAGGGCAGGAAAAGGCCAAAGAGTCCTAGAAGCAGCTAGAAGGTGGAGCCTGCAGTCTCACACTGTCCCCAGAGGGTCCTGTACCAGACTCTCCAGTCTCATTTGTTGTGTCTCCATACAGCTGAAAACACAGCTGGAGCGGACAGAGGCCATCCTGGAGGATGAGCAGACACGGCGGCAGAAGCTCACAGCTGAGTTTGAAGAGGTTAGCCCCTGTCAAGTGGCCCTCAACCCCATAAGCTTTCCGGCTTTCTTGAGAGCTTGGGCATCATCTCTGCCCTTTCCAGCTTTCCCACCAAGCACCTGGGCTAAGAAGCTGTGGAGTGTTATTGGGTGGTCATTAGTGCTGAGTCTGCCCCAGGAGCCTTGTGGGTTCTGCACCTTTGAGGGATCCTGAAGGGTGCTTGTAGACTAATGTCCAAGCTTCTTGCCCATGTGAATCCAGCCATGTGGATTAACATGAGCTATTATTGCCTTGTTTGGCTGGGGATTCCCCCCACCCCCAACACACACACACACACACACACACACACACACACAC